ATTTGACATTGCCAGGTCAGGCTGTTTTGGGTCTTACCCTCAACAAGGTAATATGCCATATCCTGTTCAACCAGAGGGGGAGAAATGAAATATTCTCATCCCCTCTTTATTACTAATATCCACCTCCATCTCTTCCCCCTCCTCGCCATACTCCCCAGTTCCCTGACAAAAGGAAGAGAGAAGAAGAGAAGAAAATATAAAAGTAGAGGAAATAAGACGATAGGCTCAAGGAGGGTTGTGGGTGGTTTTCTGAAGCTGTTTTTGCTTGGTCAGAAATAGAAGAAAATTAAAGCCCTCTAAAAGAATGTGGAATGCTATTACACCTTCTTGTACTTCACCTCAAGACTTGGTTATAACTGCTGTAATAGTCAGGAAGTTCAAAGAAACTTAAAGAAAAGTTTCCTGGTCTACTTTTCACTGACAGAGTGACTGTTTTAGCTGAATTGTTTAGTTAAATAATAGTTATCCTATGTATTATTTTAGTTTAGTTTAGTTTAGTTTAATTTTTGAGACAGCGTCTCTGTTGCCCAGGCTGGAGTGCAGTGGCATGATCTTAGCTCACTGCAGCCTTGGACTCCCAGGCTCAAGCGATCCTCCCACCTCAGCCTCCAAGACACCACAGAACCAGGCACATGCCACCACACCGAGCTCATTTTTTGTATTTTTTGTACAGACAGGGTTTCACCCTGTTGCCAGCCTAGTCTCAAACTCGTGGGCCTCCAAGGGATCAAACAAGCGATCTGCCCACCTTGGCCTCCCAACATGCTGGGATTACAAGTGTGAGCCACTGTGCCCAGCCAATAATTATCCTTTATCGAGGATCTCTTATGTGCCAAGATTGCCGTAAGGATAGAACAAACGTATGTAAGTGAACAGGTATAGTTCCTGGCACATAGGAGGCTTTTATGTATGCTATTCGAGATTCAGGCCGGGTGCAGTGGCTCACACCTGTAATCCCAGCACTTTGGGAGGCTAAGGCAGGCGGATCATTTAAGGTCAGGAGTTTGAGACCATCCTGGCCAACATGGTGAAACTCCACATCCTAAAAATACAAAAAAATTAGCTCAGTGTGGTGGCACACACCTGCAATCCCAGCTACTCAGGAGGCTGAGGCAGGAGAATCACTTCAGCCTGGGTAGTGGAGTTTGCAATGAGCCAAGATCATGACACTGCACTCTAGCCTGGGTGACAGAGTGGACTCTGTCTCAAAAAAAAAAAAAAAGATTCAATATATCTTGAATCCTCACAATGCCCTAAGAGGTAAAGTCTTTTTACTCTCATTTTATAGTGAAAGAAACTGAGGTTCATAAAGGTAGCCCAAGGTAATATAAGTAATAAATGTTTAAGTCAGGATTAGGAAAGCAGGTAAATAATTGTAGTCACTGAACTTATGCCTTACCCGAATTATTTCATTTTATTTTACAACTATTACAGTTATTATCCCCCATTAAAAATGAAGAAATAAGGCCAGGCATGGTGACTCACACCTGTAATCCCAGCACTTTGGGAGGCTGAGGCAGGCAGATCACCTGAGGTCAGGAGTTCAAGACCAGCCTGACTAACATGGCAAAATCCCAGCTACTTGGGAGGCTGAGGCAGGGATAATTGCCTGAACCCGGGAGGCAGAGTTTGCAGTGAACTGAGATTGTGCCACTGCACTCCAGCCTGGGTGACACAGCAAGACTCCGTCTCAAAAAAAAAAAAAAAGGAGAAGGAGGTCCAGTGCAGTGGCTCACACCTCTAATCCCAACACTTTGGGAGGCCGAGGTGGGTGGATCACTTGAGGTCAGGAGTTCAAGACCAGCCTGGCCAACATTGTGAATCTCTGTCTCTACTGAAAACACATAAATTAGCCGGGCATGATGGCAGGTGCCTGTAGTCCCAGCTACTCCAGAGGCTGAGGCAGGAGAATCGCTTGAACTCGGGAGGCTGAGGCTGCAGTGAGCTGAGATCCTGGCACTGAACTCTAGCCTGGGCAGCAGAGAAAGATGCCGTCTAAAAAAAAAAATAACAAAAGAAGAAACAGAGATTTAGAATGGTTAAACAATTTTCTTCAAGTCATATGGCTAAAAAGCCAGAATTTGAACCCAGGTCTAACTCCAGTGCTCATATCAGGGCTGCTTCTGCCTGGGGAATGGCTGGTATGCTGTCACCTGAGAGGTTTTGCAGGGATGTATCCATTTTTCCAGTGAATTGACCATAGTCCAGAGCCCTCAGCCTTGCAGGCAGAGGTTTGATTTGGTCAGCCTACTAAGAACCAATCTGTTTCTTGGGAGCAGACACACATTAATCAAGCTCATGAGACTGAATGAAGAACCAGGGGGCCAGTTTATTGATAATGAAAATGTAACTACATTCGAGATTCATGTGACCAGCACATTCTCTCCCTGTAAGCAGACCTCAATAGGAATCCAAATTTTGATCTGAAATTATTTACTAGATATGGAATTCAAGCAAAGGGAAAAATGTGATGACTTAGAAGAATGTCTGCCACGTAGCAAGGACTCAGTAAATCTTAGTTATTATTATTATTATTATTATTATTAATACCCATGTACACCAGAGAAGGGGTTATGAATTTCCTAGACTTACACAAAAATTTTTGTATGTGTGTATATGTGCCTTTTTTGGGGGGGGGGAATGTTTTTATTAAATTATCAAAGTGTTAGTGACCTACAAGAAAGGTTAAGAGCCATAAATTTGGCCAGGCGTGGTCATGGCTCATGCCTGTAATCCCAGCACTTTGGGAGGCTGAGGCGGGCAGATCATGAGGTCAGGTAGTTCAAGACCAGCCTGACTAACATGGTGAAACCCCATCTCTACTAAAAATACAAAAATTAGCCGGGCGTGGTGGCATGCGCCTGTAATCTACTACTAGCTACTCAGGAGGCTAAGCCAGGAGAATCACTTGAACCTGGGAGGTGGCGATTGCAGTGAGCTGCGATCACGGCACTGCACTCCAGCCTGGGCAACAGAGTAAGACTCCGTCTCAAAAAAAAAAAAAAAATCCATAAATTTGACACAAAATCCCGAACATCTTAGTGGAACAAACAAAATTTGTTTGTTTTCCTTTCTTTTTAACCTATGGATTATATCAAACAAACAAAATTTGAATTGGCTTGATATTCTCCTGGAGCTAAGGCTGCTATGTCACAGCCTATTTTGATTAAGTATAACTTCTTAGTTTATGAATCATTTGTTAAGACTTTTTTATCCCCATAATATCTTTCTTTTTCTTTTTTTTTTTTTTATTTTGTATATTTTATTTTACTTTTGGGACAGGGTCTTGCTCTGTCACCCAGGCTGGAGTGACTGGAGTGCAGTGGCACAATCACGACTCACTGCAGCCTCAACTTCCTGGACTCGAGAGATCTTCCTGCGTCAGCCTCCTGAGTAGTCAGGACTACAGGCACGCACCACCCTGCCCAGCTAATTTTTGTATTTTTTTGTAGAGATGGGGTTTTACCATGTTGTCCAGATTGGTCTTGAACTCCTGGGCTCAAGGGATCCACCTGCCGCAGCCTCCCAAAGGGCTGGGATTACAGGCGTGAGCCACTGTGCCCAGCCTCATTCCTATATGTTTTCTTTGCCCTTTTGCAAATGCTATAATTTATTTCCCCATTCGGGTGATTCAAAATCATCTCCTTTTGGAAATAGTGTTCTTAACATTCAGGCTCTTCACCTACAGTAATGACAAGCAATTGTCTCTATTCTTTTTTGCACATCGGGTACCACACTAGTAACAGCGAACAATAGTTTGCTAAGAAGAAAAATCATGACTACACATCTAGAAGCTCTAGCTTCCCAGTCTTGTTTAGGTTATCTATAATGGCATGGGAGGCATGGTGTTTCAACTGGGGGAATCTATCTTCTTTTATATTTGCCTCTGTCAGAACACTCTTCAAAAGTTCCCTGAATTGCAGTTTTGAAGATATGACACAAATCTGTGTCCAAGAAGGACCTAGACTAGGGAGTCCCAAATTGTCATCTCTGTATTTATTCCACAATATTTATGGAGTGCCCTGTATAGTATAGGCACTTTTCCAGGCACTGGAGTTTCAAAGATGAACAGAGATTTAGAGTATAGTTGGGGAATAAGACCCATACATTTAAAATTACCATGTAGTGTGCTTTATTATTTATTTATTTATTTATTTATTTAGTTTTTGAGACGGAGTCTCGCTTTTGTTACCCAGGCTGGAATGCAATGGCGCCATCTCGGCTCACCACAACCTCCACCTCCCAGGTTCAAGCGATTCTCCTGCCTCAGCCTCCTGAGTAGCTGGGATTACAGGCATGTGCCACCACACCCAGCTAATTTTGTATTTTTGGTAGAGACAGGGTTTCTCCATGTTGGTCAAGCTGATCTTGAACTCCCAACCTCAGGTGATCCGCCCGCCTCGGCCTCCCAAAGTGGTGGGGTTACAGGCGTGAGCCACCTCACCCGGCCAGTAATCTCATTTTTAAAAGTCAGGCTGGGCGTGGTGGCTTGCGCTTGTAACCCCAGCACTTTGGGAGGCCGAGGCAGGCAGATCATGAGGTCAGGAGTTCAAGACCAGCCTGGCCAACACAGTGAAACCTTGGCTCTACTAAAAATGCAAAAAATTAGCTGGGCATGGTGGTGGGCGCCTGTAATCCCAGCTACCTGGGAGGCTGAGGCAGGAGAATTTCTTGAACCCAGGAGGCAGAGGTTGCAGTGAGCGAGAGCACACCACTGCACTCCAGCCTGGGCGACAGAGCTAGACTCCATCTCAAAAAAAAAGGAAAAAGTCAAACAAAATATAAACTATCATAGGAATCTCAGAAGCCTAGACTAGATGAGGTATATAGCAGCTCCAAAACTCACCCCACTCCTTAGTTTATGAACAAGCCTCTGCTTGTTTAGAATATACACTTACTCCAACTCCTGACATCCACCATAGAAAGGTTGCCTTGTAATGGCAGATATTGCCATATATAGTCCATATGATGAAACCTGAAAAGGTATTTTATTAATTCAGCTTTCAGGCAGATCCCAAAAAACCCATTGGGGGACACATTCTGGCTCATGCTTCAACAACAAGAATAAGCTTGCGAAAGGGAAGAGGAGAGCTCAGAATTGCCAAGATTTATGATAGGTAATTTTTTTTTTATTCTTTGTGTGTGTGTGTGTGTGTAGAGACGGGGTTTTGCCATGTTGCCCAAGCTGGTCTCAAACTCCTAGGCTCAAGCAATTCTCCCACCTTGGCCACCCAAAGTGTTGTGACTATAGGTGTGAGCCACCGCAAGGCTATAATTATTACTGGCAGATGCTGTGTATTTGAATTTCCTTATAAAAAAAAGTATTCAATTTATTGGGAAGTCCCTACTGTGTGCTAGGTACTAGGGATTGAGGAATTCTGTTGACACGTTGACTTGCTCCCTGACCTTTCAAAGCATACACCTAGATAATGAAATCATCAATTCCAATTAAAGTGTAGTAAGTGCAAGGTAAGTATCAAGTATTTTTGCCAAGTTAACTCCATTTGTTTTTCAGGTTTCAGTTTAAACATCACTTTCTCGGGGAACCTTTCCCTAACCCTTACAGTCTAGGTTACTCAGTATATTATATGCTATATTCTTTCTCAGCACTTTATGTGTTTAATTAAGAATTACAGATTTTGGCCCGGCACAGTGGCTCACACCTGTAATCCTAGTACTTTGGGAGGCCAAGGTGGGCGGATCACCTGAGGCCAGGAGTTTGAGACCAGCCTGGCCAACATGGTGGAACACCATCTCTACTAAAACTACAAAAATTAGCCGGACGTGGTGGCAGGCGCCTGTAATCCCAACTACTCAGTAGGCTGAGGCAGGAGAATTGCTTGAACCCGGGAGGCGGAGGTTGCAGTGAGCCAAGATCGTGGCACTGCACTCCAGCCTGGGCAACAGAGCAAAACTCTGTCTTAAAAAAATAAAAAATACAAAATTTAAAAAAATAAAGAATTACAGATTTAATAAATTTTTACAGAGAAAAACTACTACATGTTAACTGTTCTAGGTTCTTGGGATAAAGCAGTGAACAAAACAAAAAGACTAGTTCATGCCCTCAAGGAACGTACTTTCATTTTATTGGTAATGATTTGTATAACATATGTCATCCCCTCTAGATAGTAATCCTAAGGGTTTGCTTCCTCACCGGTGTATTCCCAGTTCCTGGGACATGGTAGATGTGTCATATTTGTGACTGACTGATCAACCCCAAGCCACAAAGCAAAGATTTGCAGTAACTCTAGGGTAGCCTAGAGAGGGAAAAGCTGCTCCCTAAAGATCAGATGAGCTCTTAATCTGGTGTTTGCTATGAATCACAGTAGTACTTATTATGTATTATTATTGAATAAATATTAAATAATCAGTTCCCCCATCTATCTAAGATGGTTTTTGTTCCAACCATTTTGTTTTTCACCATCTGTCTCTGTTAAAGATTATAATACATAAATGCTACATTTTTGTTGTTGTTGCTGTTGTTGTTGTTTTGTTTGTTTGTTTGGAGATGGAGTCTCGCTCTGTCGCCCAGGCTGGAGTGCAGTGGTGCAATCTCGGCTCACTGCAAGCTCTGCCTCCCAGTTCATGCCATTCTCCTGCCTCAGCCTCCCAAGTAGCTGGGACTACAGGCACCCACCACCACGCCCAGCTAATTTTTTTGTATTTTTAGTAGAGAAGGGGTTTCACTGTGTTAGCCAGGATAGTCTTGATCGCTTGACCTCGTGATCTGCCCGCCTCAGCCTCCCAAAGTGCTGGGATTACAGGTATGAGCCACCGCGCCTGGCCTGTTGTTGATTTTGTTTTTGAGAAGGAGTTTCGCTCTTGTTGTCCAGACTGCAGTGCAATGGAGTGATCTTGGCTCACTGCAATAGATTCTCCTGCCTCAGCCTCCCGAGTAGCTGGAATTGCTGGCATGCACTACCACATCTGCTAATTTTGTATTTTTAATAGAGACAGGGTTTCTCCATGTTGGTCAGGCTGGTCTTGAACTCCCGACCTCAGGAGATTCTCCCACCTTGGCCTCCCAAAGTGCTGGGATTACAGGCGTGAGCCACCGCACCCGGCCCATAAATGCTATGTTTTTTGTTTTTTGAGACGGAGTCTCGCTCTGTAGCCCAGGCTGGAGTGCATTGGCGCAATCTCTGCTCACTGCAAGCTCTGCCTCCCGTGTTCACACCATTCTCCTGCCTCAGTCTCCCGGGTAGCTGGGATTACAGGCGCCCACCACCAAAATGCTGTTTTATGGAGCTTTGGCAAGCTCTAGAAATTTGTGACAAATGTACTTCATTGGGCCAGGCGCAATGGCTCATGCCTGTAATCTCAGCACTTTGGGAGGCCGATGCAGGTAGATCACCTGAGGTCAGGAGCTCAAGACCAGCCTGGCCAACATGGTGAAACTCCGTCTCTATTAAAAATACAAAAATTAGCCGGGCGTGGTGGTGGGTGCCTGTAATCCCAGCTACTCAGGAGGCTGAGGCAGGAGAATCGCTTGAACCCAATAGGGGGAAGTTACAGTGAGCCGAGATTCTGCCACTGCACTCCAGCCTGGGCAACAGAGACTTTGTCTCAAAAAAACACCCCAAAAAACAAATGTACTTCGTCGAACTAAATGGTTTCATCTAGTCATATGTCTTAGCTCACCTGTTAGACACCTTAAAAGTAAAGATTCTGTCTCTTTTGTACAATCTATAGGGTCCAGTAACTGCTAAAATATGATTTTTAAAAAAATTAAAAACTTGACTTTCTTGCAAATAAATATAAAATGAACATGTATCAAAGATTTTATTCAGCCCTTGAATTAAGGAGGAAACCAGTGATTCAAATGAACATTGTAGTCAATCAAAGGAATACTGAAATAATCTTTTTTTTTTTTTTTTTTTGAGATGGAGCCTCCCTCTTTTGCCCAGGCTAGAGTGCAGTGGCACGATCTCAGCTCACTGCAACCTCCCCCTCCTGGGTTCAAGCAATTCTTCTGCCTCAGCCTCCTGAATAACTGGGATCACAGGCACCCACCACCATGCCCAGCTAATTTTTGTATTTTTAATAGAGAGGGGGTTTCACCATGTTGGCCAGGCTGGTCTCGAACTCCTGATGTCAAGTGATCCGCCCACCTCAGCCTCCCAAAGTGCTGGGATTACAGGCGTGAGCCACCACACCCAGCCTATTATTTTAAAGAGACAGTTTAACAACCACCTGACCATCACCTGATGGTTGCATTACATTCCTGGTGGGGTAGGGGGGCTCTCCTTCCCTGCTCATGTCTGCCTAACTACCTACTCTAACAAAATGAAATATAAATTGATGAAAAATGAGTCAATATCTATAGGAAAATAATCAATTGCATTTCACTTTACACGATTTACATCTCTCTGGACAAAACAATTTGCACTGCTCATAGTTCTCTACAACTTACGGAGTTATAAAATAGATCAAAGACAATGGAAGGCATACAGCCCTCACAGAATTGGATAACATGGGGGCCGAGCGCGGTGGCTCATACCTGTAATCCCCCAGCACTTTGGGAGGCCGAGGCAGGAAGGTCAGGAGTTCAAAACCAGGCTGACCAACATGGTGAAACCCCGTCTCTACTAAAAATACAAAAATTTGCCAGGTGTGGTGGTGGGCTCCTGTAGTCCCAGCTACTCAGGAGGCTGAGGCAGGAGAATCGCTTGAACCCGTGAGGCGGAGGTTGCAGTGAGCCAAGATCGCGCCACTGCACTCCAGCCTGGGCGACAGAGCGAGACTCTGTCTCAAAAAAAAAAAAAAAAGAGAATTGGATAACCTGGGAGGATATGCTAGACAACCTATGTTTCCACGGAAGGTACTCAGTAATCTTTTAATTTATTTCAAAGTCTTTTACAGCCGGGCGCGGTGGCTCACGCCTGTAATCCCTGCACTTTGGGAGGCCGAGGCGGGCGGATCACGAGGTCAGGAGATTGAGACCATCCTGGCTAACACGGTGAAACCCCGTCTCTACTAAAATACAAAAAATTAGCCGGGCGCGGTGGCGGGCGCCTGTAGTCCCAGCTACTCCGGAGGCTGAGGCAGGAGAATGGCGCGAACCCGGGAGGCGGAGCTTGCAGTGAGCTGAGATGGTGCCACTGCACTCCAGCCTGGGCGACAGAGTGAAGACTCCGCCTCAAAAAAAAAAAAAAAAACAAAAAACAAAGTCTTTTACAGTTTGCTCCTACATTAGTCCAGTCATGAGAAAGGTGCATACCCCTATAGAATCAGATAAACCCCGAAGGGGCTGCTATACAATACCTGACACTATACTAAAAGAATACCCAGTTGGCCAGATGCAGTGGTTTACACCTGTAATCCCAGCACTTTGGGAGGCCGAGGCAGGCAGATCACCTAAGGTCAGGAGTTCGAGACCAGCCTGGTCAACATGGTGAAACCCCGTCTCTACTAAAAATATGAAAATTAGGCGGGCGTGATGGCAGATGCCTGTAATCCCAGCTACTCAGGAGGCTGAGGCAGGAGAATTGTTTGAACCCAGGAGGCAGAGGTTGCAGTGAGCCGAGATCTCGCCATTGCACTCCAGCCTGGGGGACAAGAGCAAGACTTCATCTCAAAAAAAAAAAAAAAAATTAAAATAAATAAATAAACACCCAGTTATCCTTTCATCTGTTTCCAAGTTTGGGGTAATTTTTCTTGACATTCAGAACTTTATATATAGAAGTTGCTCAATAAATGTTTGTGAGGGTTAATAATACTTGTGGGTAGGTTCTGTAGGCCACATTTGGTTGTACCAACTCTCAGATGTCTCTGGAGACTCAGACTGATGGGAGCATAATGCCTGTGACTTGAATACAGTATTTATAGAAATAGAGCTTTTTATAAACTTCTGTTCCCTTGTATTCTGTTAGTCCTGAGATGCCTGAAAATGAAGCCACCTTCGCAATAACTGCTGGAGGAATTGGGGATGCCAAGGAGTAGGTGGTGAATTGATGCAAATCGCTTCTTAGTGCTTATTAGGAGCTGAAGAAATGGAAAAGCAGTCTCCAATTTCACATCTTGAAATAGAGGTTTTTTCCCACATGTTACTAAAGGAAAGTCAGCAAAAGATATTTAAATCTTATATTTATCTTAAAAGTCCTTGATTTGTGATAACTATACATTGTATGTAAATTCAGGGATATGTATATATGTGTGTGTGCGTGTGTGTGTGTGTATACCTGACATATATAGTAGATATATGTACCTATTGAAATTCTCTCATTCTGTGTATGTATATATACCTATGTAAAACTAGTTGTTGGGAAAGGCGTACGTGATTCCCTCCCTTTCACTTTTCAAAGTGAGCCACTAAGCAAATGGAAAGTCTAAGAGTTCAGAAATGCCCCATTCTCCTAAGGACTTTGCCTTCACCATTTTTCTAGGGTATAGTGCCACTGACTTACAGAGCTGGATGTTTTTCCACAAGAAAAAAGCTCTTTCTATTTATAATACCAAACTGCATATTCACCTTTATAGCAACAGAAAACAAACATTAAAGTAAGCCAAATTTTAAATCATTTGACTTTGACAAGCAGAAATTACTTTTTAAAAATGTATTTATGGCTGGGCGTGGTGGCTCACACCTGTAATCCCATCACTTTGGGAGGCCGAGGCAGGTGGATCACTTGAGGTCAGGAGTTCAAGACCAGCCTGGCCAATATGGAGAAACCCTGTCTCTACTAAAAATACAAAAATTAGCCAAGCGCAGTGGCATGTGCCTGTAATCCCAGCTACTCTGCAGGCTGAGGCAAGAGTATCGCTTGAACTTGGGAGGCAGAGATTGCGCGAGCCAAGATGGTGCCACTGCACTCTAGCCTAGGTGACGGAGTGAGACTCCGTCTCAAAAATACATATCTTTTTTAATGTTAAAATTAATTTAAATGTAAAATTTCCAAATACTAGTCTTAGAAATGTGTAAAAGATTTTTTTTTGATTGTTAAACAAAAATAAAATCTTGTTTTCAAAATGCATGCATGGTGAAAATATGTAAAAATTAAAATACTAATGACAATATACAATGAAAAGTTTTATAGACTTCAATCTTTATAGACTTTAATGTTGCATTAACTTACATGAAAATTCCAGGGCTGAGCGTGGTGGCTCACACCTATAATCCCAGCACTTTGGGAGGCCAAGGAGAATGAATTGCTTGAGCCCAGGAGTTTGAAGACCAGCCTGGGCAATATGGCAAAACCCCATCTCTACAAAAAGTACAAAAAAATTAGCCAGGCATGGTGGTGTGTGCCTGTGGTCCCAGCTACTCAGGAAGCTGAAGTGGGAGGATCGCTGGAGCCCGGGAGGCGGAGGTTGCATTGAGCCAAGACAGAGCCACTGCACTCCAGCCTGGGTCACAGAGTGACACCCTGTCTCAAAAAAAAAAAAAAAAAAAAAGAAGGAAAAAGAAGAAAATTCAAGTATTCAAAGTACCATTTGTTACAAAAGGTATTTGATTATTCATGAAATTATTCAGTCACTAATTATTATTAATGTTAAGGGCTAAAGAATAAACGAGGAAAATGTGGTTCCTACTCATAAAGAATGTATACATTAGTTAAGAGAAAAGACTAATATTTAGGAAAACAAGAGAGCAAATGGTTATATCATTAATTCATAAGCAATGTAATCTTGGATTGACCCTTAAAGAAAGTAAAATTCTGCTGGGTGTGGTAGCTCACGCCTATAATCCCAGCACTTTGAGAGGCCGAGGTGGGTGGATCACTTGAGGTCAGAAATTCAAGACCAGGCTGGCCAACATAGTGAAACCCCATCTCCACTAAAAATATGAAATTAGCTGGGCGTGGTGACACACGTCTGTAATCCCAGCTACTCAGGAGGCTGAGGCAGGAAAATCGCATGAACCCGGGAGGCGGAGGTTGCAGTGAGCTGAGATTGTGCCACTGCACTCCAGCCTGGGCGACAGAGCGAGACTCCATCTCAAAAATAAATACATAAATAAGTAAAATTCCAAAAATGGGAGAGGAAAGGTTAAGCTGAGAGACTGCATATGCAAAGGTATAGGAGCTGGGATATGGAAAGAAAATGGAGACTAACTTGGCAAGCAGAAATTGTTCACAATGCAGGATACTGGGAAATAAGAGCTTTTTTTCTTCCTTTTACCTTTTGAAAACCACAGAAGCTACTTCTCTGAATAAGCAGAGATAAAGTCATCTAGGAGCAGATTTTCTGCATTCTGCAAAATCACTTAAATGGCGTATTTTCGTATGCAAATATAAAGGCATACTTTTGTCCTAGGGAAAGGAAGGCTTTGTTACTTGATTCATTGTGTATATTTTAAATTTTCTGTGTATTATGCTGTTTTAACTTTTTTTTTTTTTTTTTTTGAGACAGTTTCACTCTTGTTGCCCAGGCTGGAGTGCAATGGCGCAATCTCGGCTCACTGCAACCTCCTCCTCCCGGGTTCAAGCAATTCTCCTGCCTTAGCCTCCCGAGTAGCTGGGATTACAGTTGCCCACCACAATGCCCAGCTAATTTTTTGTATTTTCAGTAGAGATGGGGTTTCACCATGTTGGCCAGGCTGGTCTCGAACTCCTGACCTCAGGTGATCCACCTGCCTCAGCCTCCCAAAATGCTAGGATTACAGGCGTGAGCCACTGCACCCAGCCTGTTTTAACATCTTGAAAAATCTTTCCAGCTGGGGAGAGACTGCCCTTATCAGGGATAGCCAATATTAGAGATAGCAAAGGGACCAGCCAGGAGCATGCCTTTGATGCACAGACTAACTAATCTACAGCCATCCTAGCTCTATCTGGCCCTTATACTCCAGAAGAGAATATTCCTTTGCCTTAATCATCCCAGGCCCTGCTACCAGGCAACTAGGGGCCACCCATCTAACTTAGAGCCTATCAAAATTTCAGCCTGGGCAACATGGTGAAACCTGGTCTCAAAAAACAAACAAAAGTTAGCCAGGTGTGGTGGCACGTCTGTAGTCCCAGCTACTCAGAGGCTGAGATGGGAGAATCACTTAAACCCAGGAAATTGAGGCTACAATGAGCCGTGATGGCACCACTGTACTCCAGCGTGGGCAACAGTGAGACCCTGTCTCAAGAAAAAAAAAAAAAAGAAAGAGAAAAAAATTACTCAATTCGCCACTCCTCAACCGTTTAACCTGCCCTGTCTCAGAAACTTCAATAAAGGCCATGGCCCAAGCTCTCTCCCATCCAGTGTTCTGCCTCCTGACTACCCCCGCATATTCCCCAGTGACCTCCGCATGGTGTGTGGTGACCCCCTCTTTAGGACCTGTGAGTATAGTAAACTTTCTTCTACAAGCCTCTCCTATCTTTCCTCCTGTGGCCACACCTGACTATCCTATAAATGTACAATTTAAATAGCTTTGACAACATCCTTGATAAAAACTGAGCATCTCCTAGAGATTCCCTGGTATGAGGAGCCCTGGAGAGGGGGTGGACCAATTTGCATAGCAGCCCAGAGCATTTTAGTAGAGACAGAAATAAAACTCCCAAGACTTGAAATTCAGAGAATTTGTCTGGGTTAAGCAGAATACCCCTGACAAAGGACAATTTAACAAGAAGTGGGCATTCGGGTTGGAAAACAGGGCCCAAAACAAAGGCCTAGAGTTCAGTGGAGAAGCTGGTTTCAATATGGCATCTGGCTAAGGCTGGAAATCTCTCTGGGTCCAGCCAGTCTTACATGTCCTGCTTTGGAGAACAGTGGCTGAGTGTGAGAATGTGAACTACTAAAAAGCTGTAACTTGGGGCCCAACTTTGGATAGCACTACGGATTGTGCAGGTATCTGGGCCAGCAGGAAAATCACCAGTGCCCACTGAGCTTTTCTAGGCCAGGGTTCAATTTTGTTACCTGTGAGCAAAGGACCATGGTTTTCCAGTACTCCACTCTCCATTTGTGTGCAGAAATAGGTCTGGTCTATTTCTGGCCTATATAGGGACGATGAGCACTCAGAAAGGAGGGTTTATTGGTTAGGACTCTTGGTTGCAAGCCGTAGAAACATACGGTTACCAGAAAAGGGTCCTAATCCAGAGAGAGTTCTTGGACCTCACTCAAGAAAGAATTTGGGGTAAGTCCGCAGAGTAAAGCAAAAGCAAGTTTGTTTATTGATTGACTTATTTTGAGACGGCGTCTTCCTCTGCTACCCAGGCTGGGGTGCAGTGGTACAATCTTGGCTCACTGCAACCTCCACTACCAGGTTCAAGCGATTCTCCTACCTCAGCCTCCCAAGTAGCTGGGATTACAGGTGCCCGCCACTATACCTGGCTCAAACCTATAATACCAACACTTTGGGAGAACATGGCAGGAAGATCACTTGAGGCCTGGACTTTAAGACCAGCCTGGGCAACACAGGGAAATCTTGTCTCTACAAAAATTTAAAAATAAGCCGGCAGTGGTGGTGCATGCCTGTAGTCCCAGATACTCAGGAGGCTGAGGTGGGAGTTTTGCTTGAGCCCAGGGGTTTGTGGTTGCAGTGAGCTATGACTGTGCCATTGCACTCCAGCGTGCGTGACAGAGCAAGGTCCCGTATCAAACAAACAAACACCTCATGAAGTAAAACATTACCAACACAACTGAAGACTCCTGAATAGCCCTAGGAGTAAATCTCTTTCCTCCCCATCAAATTCTTCATTTTGCTGAATTTGTTGTCAAATGATCCCATACATTTCTTTATTCTTACATTACATATATATGTGGCCCTAAACAATAAAGCATACTGTCTTGCATTCAGCCAAAACTGAGACATCAGTGAGGTGCCAGCTGCAATGGATAGAGAAGTGACTAATCAAGAGAGTCCCTGGAGCCAGGTGCAGTGGCTCACGCCTGTAATCCCAGCACTTTGGGAGGCCGAGGCGGGCCGATCATGAGGTCAGGAGATCGAGACGATCCTGGCTAACACGGTGAAACCCCATCTCTACTAAAAATACAAAAAATTAGCCGGGCATGGTGGCAGGCGCCTGTAGTCCCAGCTACTCGGGAGGCTGAGGCAGGAGAATCTCTGCCAGGAGGCAGAGATTGCAGTGAGCCGAGATTGCACCACTGCACTCCAGCCTGGCTGACAGCGTGAGACTCCGTCTCAAAAAAAAAAAAAAAATTCCCTGGGACATGGAGTTGCAGGAATAATCACCTGAATAACCAATTACAATTGGGGTTAAGTCTACAAAGCAAAAGCACCGGCAGTTCTGAGAGTCCCCACTGAGAGAGCTGCCTAGTCTGGGGGTTAGCCTGACCCAGGTTTAGGGATGGTACAAAGGCACCAGGGACATTCACATTGTCTTGACAAGGCACCCTCTACCCTGGGTATCTCAGATGGCTGCATTGCCAACCTCCCCTCCACCATACTTCAATAAGTCCCTTCCTCCAAGGGATTTCACCCCTCTTTGGCAGAGAGCAAAAAGCCTGTCCTGAACACTACCATCCCAATTCAATTCACAAGTACTGCCAAGGGAGTCAACTTCTTCATTTTCCAATCTTACAAATGGTCTTTGCAGTGATTCCAACGGTAAAGAAGGCAAAGACAAAGCCACATGGATCTGCTCACACTGACTTATTTACTCTGAGCAGTAGCCAGTTGGGGAGGGGGTAATGGCCTGCAGAACCCCCATAACTTCTCAAACATACATGCCTGTAATTACATATTTATACAAAAGCAAAAGTCCTTCCTTTTGACTCCACCCAGTACCAATCTGAACCACCCTCAGATTAGGTAGGGGTGTGTGTGTGTGTGTGGGTGTGTGTGTGTGGGTGTGTATGGGTGTAGGCTTGGTGGTGTATTTATTTGGCACAGTCCTTCCTGGAGATGACTCTAATGCTAGTTACTTTTCCTCCAAATATGTGCACACTATATTTTGCCTCTATTATCAAAATTATGTAAATACCAGCACTTTTTTCATTATATCTTAGAGACACCAGTTGATGTTTAACTGACCTATTGCTGTTTTCACTTTGTCCTTATGTTCTGATTTTTGATGCCAGCCTGTTGTTC